GCGGCATCCGCCTCTTAGAGCTGCTCTGGGGTTAATCCAGTTAATCTGGGAACAGTGCCCTGCAGGTGTAGGCGCTGTGGAGACCGGCTATCAGCCTCCACGTTGGGGCTTCTCCCTACATCAGCGAAACGTGTTTTCCTCCCATTTCACTCAATAGCAGGCACCTGTGTGCTGGGTCTTTCTGTGAGAGGGGGCAAAGGAAGGACGGGGCCTGGGGTTCGAGGTACAAGCTCTGCTTCCTGGGCCTTTAGCAGCTGTTGGGGGGATGGTTTCCAGTATGTGATGTGACTGTCGCCGTGTGATGAAGCCGCAGGCCTTCGCTCACCCGAGGAGGGGGGCCTGCCACCCGGAAGGAAAGTTCTGGCCCAGGTGAGTGGCCATTAAGCTGCGGACTGCCAGGATTGCGCTGAGTTAAACAAGCACCTGGCTCCCTCCCCGTGCCTTCCTTTCCCTCCGAAACCCACTAGCTCCTAGCTCTTCAGGCGCTGCTTCTGTCGGTAAGTTTCCTTGACAAATTCTTGATGTGATTTTGGAGTTGTCAGCCTTCTTTTGAGGTGTCTGGCCGGCCCTGGAAATGTTCACAGTTGGGGAGCCAGCCAGGAGGCTGGAGACATGGGAAAGGAAAGGAAAAAAAAAGCCTCTGAGAGGAAGATTCCGTGTGGGGACTGGCAGCCCGTGTGCTGGATGCCTGCATCCCACTGTGTGAGTGTGGAGCCTTGGAGAGTGCTCCCGGGCTGTCCCACTGTGTGAGTGTGCGGCCCGGAAAACGCCCCGGGCTGTCCCACTGTGTGAGTGTGGGGCCTGGGAAAGCGCCCCAGGCTGTCCCACTGTGTGAGTGTGGGGCCTGGGAAAGCGCCCCAGGCTGTCCCACTGTGTGAGTGTGGGGCCTGGGAAAGCGCCCCAGGCTGTCCCACTGTGTGAGTGTGGGGCCTGGGAGAGCGCCCCAGGCTGTCCCACTGTGTGAGTGGGGCCGGGAATGCGCCGCCGGCTGGAGCTTGTTTGCTGGTCCCCCTGGCCCTCTGTGCTAGGAAAGGCCGGGATGGCCACTCCAGGAGGCCAGTGCTTTAAGGGCAGTTGGGCTGGTAACCAGCGCCTTTTCAAGGTGGAAGTCAGGAAGCTGGATGGGGAAGGGATGTACTTTTTTCACCTCCCTCTCGACTACTGACTTAGCTGAGAGAGTTGAGGAACAAGATACCGAAATATTCGATAGAAACCGAAGTCTGCCCTGCCGCTTTGTAAAACTGGGAAGAAGAAAGTTAACAACAGCCACAGACACAGGGAGGAGCCACGGAGCTGGGATGCATAAAGCCACAGCCCAGTGAAAGACTGGCAAATAGATTAACCTGGAACCTGGGGAGGCTAGAGGGACTTCCTCCTGCTCCCTCCAGGCTGTTTCCATAGCACCGCCTCCAGTGCCACTGATGGCGGCTGGGGGTGGGGATGGGGCATCACTCCCCCTTCCTGCCCTCTGACAGCAGCTCGTTATGTTCATGACATCGTGTGGACAGGTGACGAGTTCCTTTCACAGGAAACTCGGTTCCTTACGCCATCACCTCTGAGACGGAGGATGGACCATGAGTCCACGAAGGTACAGGCCCAGGTTCTGTAAACGCTCCTGCAGAGGTTTGGTTGGGGAGATATGCCTGGCGCTGGGGTCGTGGCAGGTAAAATGCCAGCAGCTCCTCGTCCCAAACATGAAAAGAGTGGACTCCACTGAGAAAACCCTTGTGGGGCCAGCAACCCCGGGAAGAGATCTGGGACGGACCCTGGGACCCGGAGTGGATCTTATGGGTGTCGGCCCCCAGTCACCTGGAAGCGGGTGCTTTGGCCCAGATCAAAACGTGGGTGCCCACACAAGCTGCACACTTAGCCCCCTGGACCCGTCAGAAAAGTGGGTCGAGGGGCAGAAGTGGGGTGGACTATTGCAAAGCGAGCAGCTGTGCCTAGGAAGTCCGGTGATGTTTTAGCCGCAATAAAGATGGCCATGTTGGCTCCCGTTTGCAACTAAGAAAGCTGCCTCGCCCACCTGGGCATGTGCATAAAGCCAACAACCCAGAAAAAGTCTGGCAAATAGATTTAATATATTGGCCCCTAGCCAACTAGGAAGGCCCAGAATGTGCTCTCACCGGTGCAGCTACAGCAGCTGTCTGTGACAGGCTTCTCCTGGGAGACGGGCAGATCACAAGGCAATCACCAAAGGGTTATTGACATTGAGTACCGGGTGGACCCTGTGCCACGCAGATCCAGGCCCTCCTTTCAGGGACATGACGTCCAACAATGGGTACCCAATAATGGCGCCGGGCCGAGGTAGTATTTGCCATGTGACCCTCAGGCCACGGGAGGAACAGAGAGGGAAAATGATTTCTCTGAAACAGCAGACACGACTTAGGAAAAGGCCCCCTGGCTGGGTAGTGAGGGGCTTGAGGCACTTTAACTCCTCTCAGGGCTGACTCCTCAGGCCTGCGGTGCCGCTGACAATGGGCACTCCTGGGGAGGGGAAGAGGCGCCTCTTTGTAATGATGCCATCAGGCCTGAGGTACTGGCAGGTCAGTGAGCCCCACCACGTCGGACTCCATTGTCACTGATGCCCGGACAGGACACGGAGTGATTGCTTTACTACGGAAGGTGCCAGATGGCTGGCTGGGGTAGTTTTTGCCACGAGCGAGGCATCCTCAGCCCTCCTCAGTCTCCTGTTATCCCGGGAGCCTGCCCTCTAAAGACACAGGTGCATCCCAGGTGGTAAGGGAGATACCTAGAGGTACCGGTACCAACCCTCACCTGGCACGGTACCCCCACAGGGACCCTTCTGTCGGCTCGGGTGCCAGGTCTCTCTGTAGCCCCTCCCTTTCAGACGCCCGCAGCAGCAGCAGCTGCCCAGAGGTGAGCCACCAGCATCATGTTAGAAGACCTCCCTACAGGTTCCAACCGAACGCCTTTTGGTTTGCTCCTAGCTGCTGCTGCTTTTTATTCTTTATTGTTTAAAGTATTACACGTGTCTCCTTCCTCTCCCCAGCTGTTTCCAGCACATGCCCTCACCCCCCTCGTGTCTGTGTCCATGGGTTATGCTTATGTGAATGCATTCATGTCCTTTGGTTGATCTCTTCCCCTCCACCCCCACCCTCCCCTCCCTTGCCTCTGAGGGCTGGCAGTCTGTTCGATGCTTCTGTGTCTCTCTCCTAGCTTCTTGATGTTCATGCGTTGCCTTTAGGTGACCTACTTAAGGCAGCCTGCTCCTGTAACGGCTCATTCATGTGCTGATTCCCTCCTGCTGGGTGAGCAGCTGAGTACCTCGCTTTGTCCTGCTCTCGTGTTGGGCTGGCCCTTGGGCGTCCTGCTGGAAATGGCCCCTCCGTTCCTTTTGCCGTCCTTGCGGTGACTCCCCCCATCACGTGTACTTATGTTCCTGTGTGGCCTTCCCAGGGGCGGGAGCCTTTTCCTGCCAGGGGCCATTGGTATTTATAACATCGCTCTCTGGCCACACAAAATTATCAGCCTGAAAGTCAGCCTGTTGTGTTTGGGCAAACATTTAATTAACTCACCGCTCATGCCTTGCAGGGCCAGACCAAATGATTTCTCAGGCCTTATATGGCCCCAGGCTGGACATTCCCCACCCCTGGTCTGTCGTGTGGGCAGCTGATGTTGAAAGGGCAGGGCGGGGCTAACTCTGGATCTTCCATTTTGTATGTCATTGTGTAACTGGACCCTAGCCCTCACCCAACCAATCGGGGTCAACCAAAGCTGACCCCTATAAAACCCTTTGATTTGTTGAAGCTCGCTCTCTTCTGCCATGCCGCTGTCAGTGTAAGTGGGACAGAGCTTGGACTAGTCCGAATACAGGCTTTTTGCTATTGCATCAGACTCGGCTCCCTGGTGGTCTTTGGGGATCACGAAATCTGGGCATAACAGTGTCACAAACGGGACATCTCTGTTCCTCCATCCCAGAGAGCATTGTGGAAAAGGGGGTCACTTTCGATTCTAAATGAGCCAGGAGGGGCCGAGTTAGGAGAAAGGATTCCTGGTACTTCATGTGACAGCTGCCCTCTTATGAAGCAAGCTGACCACCAGGGGGCTAGGAGGGGGCGGGCGTCTCACCTGAAAGGAATGTTCCTGTGTCGGGTAGTGGGCCCACTGCTACTGCCTTGGATCACACAGCTCTCAACAAGCCCGCACCACATGGCTGCCCGCCCACGGCAGCCTGCGCCACATGAGGCATATACCCGGCCTCCGTGCCCTTTCCTGCAGAAGCCCGATGTCTGCTTCCCCCAAACTCCGCTCTGTCTCTCAGCTCCCTAACAAACTCCTAAGGAGCTCTGGAGTGGCCAGCCCCTTTCTCAGGTCTTCTTGGCTGGGCGGATGCAGCAGCTTTAACTCATCTTCAGGCCGACTCCACAGGCCTGCCGACTTAGCGTTCAGATGTGCTGATGACAATGGGGAGCCCGGGGGAACGTTTCACGGCAGCAGCCCCAGCTCGGGGCCCTCAGGGCTGCCTGGGCTTCCCGGGGGAGCCGGGGAGAAAGCTCCCGGGGCGTTTTGCCTTTGGAACAGGGCTGGACACTGTGTTGGCATCCCCAGCAGCCCGGCAGCACTGGGTCATGACTGCGAGATCCCACCCGGCCTCAGGAGCATCCGCACCATCCCCAGTGCCTCAGAGCCTCCGGGCACAGTCCCCTGCAACCGCCCCTTCCGCATGGCCGCCTCTCCTCGCTGGCCACTTCCCTGGGGGAGGGCACTACCGCTGCTTCCCTTCCTCCTGGGACCTGAGGTCCCTCTCTCCCGTGAGGAGTTGCTGAGGAGACAGCAGTGGCATCAGGTGACAAACCGTGTGTACAACCAAGTAGGTTTCACAGAATGCGCCCATTTGGTAAAATGCCCAGGCCTGCATCCAGCAGGCGCCACAGGATGGGCGGGAGGTGGCCTGTTGGGGAAAAGAGAAAATCTGCCCGCTACCTGCGCCCCACCTTCCTCCCCTTCTCCCCACAAGCAGTAAGACACTCAGCTGGTCAAGAGGTGAAGTTCCTGTTTATTGTTGCAGCAACTCTTACAGACATTAGCGTTCCGTTAAATAAAGGAAGAGAACACATTAAATACATCACAACCCCCAGCACACCACGGAGGAGGGGAGGGCGGGCGGGCGGGGCCAGTGACCGGACTGTGGGGGGAAGTTACATTCAGTGGGTGCGGTGTCCACATTCTGGGCTCACGTGTGTATATATACTTTATTTATATATTTATTTATATCTATATATAGAGATCATCGAGTTCTGTGTATACAAAGAACGATATCGGTACAAATAACAATACTATATTCTCCCACTGCTTTTACAATAAGCTCTGCTCTATCCTCTTTACAGAACAAATAGTACAGGTTCGTCCTGGAGGGGCTGTGCTGGGCGCGTCCACAAAACCTCCTTCCCGCACCGTCCCTCCTCACTGCCTTCAGGGTGTGTGTGTGTGTGTGTGTATAGGTCAGCCAAACCAGGGAAGGAGCAGATAATCTCAAAACAAGGGGCGTGTGAGTGGGAGCGTGAACAGGTGTGCGGGGAGGTGGCCCTTGGTTGTAAACATTGGTGACAGCCACCCCCTGGCTCTGTGGCTCGTGGATGGTGTCCTCAGCGTGCGGGCGGGGCGTGGGGGTGACGGGAGCGATGGGGGAGGTAGTAGGTTACTCTGGGACCCTCAGAGGCCGGTGTGCATGGGTCGTGTTCACAAAGCAGAGCTGTCTGCAGGGCCTCCGAGTCCATCCCCCTGAGGATGGACTCCCCAGGCCCCGCAGAGCCCGCTACGGTGAGGGGAAGGGTCTCCACCTGGGAACCCGAGGCTGAGGGTGGCTCCCTGAAATGGTCGGATCTGAGAAGGCGGGTGGGGTGGGTTCTGGTGCATCCTGGCTGCGAGTCATCAGCATGCCTCACGGAGCAGCTCTGCACCCAGGCCGTGTTTGGGATGCTCGGTACACGGTCTTGCCCAGCACACGGTGTCCGGATGTCACATGTACAGCTACTCATCCCAGAACGTCAGGGGACACCGACCACCACTTCCCGCGGGGGGGGGGCTTTCAAAATCGGAGCTTCTAACAGGTAAGGCCCTGCCTCCTGGTTCACCACAGGGACTGCCCTTCCTCCCTCCAGCGGGTGACCGTGTACCGAGCTCCGTAAACGTGTGCTCGCTGTGCGTGCGGGGGCCGCTCCTAGCAGGAAGGAGGGTGGTGGGGAATATTGTGATCCTCCGCTAGGCCAGCTTATCGAGTTGGCTTTCCCAGCCCCTGGCCAACTGCCGAGGTTTCCCGGGCAGCAGCGTAGAGAGGACTCTCCTCCCTCTTTGGGGAAAGACACGTCACTGTGATTACAGGGAGGCTCGCAGGGACAAGCTAGCGAGTTCCTGGCCCGGCCCATCTGGGCGGCTTCTGAACGGGCAGGCGGCCCGCGGCCACCCTGGGGGCTTTCCCAGGCTGCCGAGGCCTGAGACACACCAATACCGCTGCATCCAGGTCTTACCTCTCTCTCTCTCTGGCAGAGGACGCCGAGCTTAACGACTCTGTAGTGCTTCATTACAGTACCACACACCGGACAATTGGAAAGTGGGAACTGGACCCGTGGTTCCTGACTGCCCACCGGCTCCCCCAGAGGACAGCGCAGCCCCTTCTCCCAGCGCTCGCTGACACACACCCAGCGCCCGCCCGCCGGCGGCTTTGAAACATTCGGCCTTCCTGACCTGAGGCAGGAAACTCAAAAGGTACAGAGATCCCCAGGGAACAGAGGGAACACAGCTGTCTGTCTGGTCCGAGTCTCCTGGTCCTCACGTCTTTATATCCGCTCTTCTCCCTCCCTGCGACCCCTCCCCACTGGATCTATAAATACATACTACCCAACGTGTGCCCACCGCATTCCTTCGTCCACAAGCACAACGTAAATATCCCATGTGCAGAGAACAGGGACTATATTAACAACATTATAAAACATATTAGTTTCTCTCTTCCCCGTCTCTGCGGAGGTCAAGAACACAACACAACAACAACAAAAAACAACAAGCCACACCCCGTCCACGTGAAAACAAAATGCTCTTTGGACCAAAGAATAAGTAAACACTGACTCAGAATAAAATTAAAATATTTTCACCCAACTGAGAAGGGACTCATACACAGGAGGCACCGGATTTAAAAAAAAAAAAAGTCACCCTCCACAGCGATGACACGCTCAGGCCCACGGGGCAGTGAGGGGAACACGCTGGGGACTCGGGCGTAGCTGGAGGTCACGGTTGTCCCCTTAGTTCTCTGGTTTGTGTGCTCTCCGGCCGTTCCCAGGTCCCAGCCTGCCTAGTGGCCCTGAGCGGAGGAGGAATGTCACACGGACACACGTGCGCCCCCATCTTCCAGGTGAGCAGTCCCACCTCCCCAGGCTCCCTGTGTGTGTGTGTGTGTGTGTGTGTGTGTGTGTCTGCGTGTCTGCGCGCGTGTGGAGCAGGGGTGGGGGAGGAAGGGGAGCCACCAGAATACTGAGCCAAGGTGGTGCTGGCAGGGCTGGGCCTGAGCCAATGAAGGGCGTCTCTCCCAGGACAGAGCTGACCAGCCCAGGGGTCGCACACAGAGGTAATGGGGGGTCTCCAGGGGCTCTGGGTGCCACCCGGGTGGAGGGGAAGAGGAGGAGGAGGAGGAGGAGGAGGATATAAATGCCAGCGAGACTGTGTTACATACCCGTGGGTGACATGATGGAGGCAGACGGCACCTGTCCACGTTCATCTACCTGTGTCACCTCAGGACCACCTGGACACAATGATGTCCCAGGAACTGCCAACCCGGGGTGCCATTCTTGGGGGAGGGGCTCCCGTTAGGAAACAGCTGTGCTGACGTTAGACCTACACAAGGGGCCTTAGGTGGCTGAGAAACCCTGGGCAGAAAGGATGGAGGGCACCCAGGTCCGTGGTGGGCCTGTCTGTGACCGCAGATGCCCACACAGGCACTCGAGGAGAGCGGAGATCAGCGAGGGGCTCGCAGGCACTGCGGAGTCAGCTTCCTGCCGCCCCTCCGGGCGCCTGGAAGAGGCCGGCCCCTCCTGGGAAGGGAGCATTCCCCCTCGGGCGGTGCCAGCCCTCCTGGGCCCTGGGGGCCCTCGGGACAGTCCAGTCCTGGGCAGACACCAGGTGGATACAGGCCGCTCTCCAGCCTCAGAGGAGTGCACACAGATCCTTCCTGGTGCTGAAAAGTAAACAGGAGAGGCCGAGAGAGAGCACAGTCTTTCCGGAGGCCCCCCTTCCTGTGTGAGACCTAGGGAGGGCACGAGGGGGAGGCTCAGAGGGCACACAGATGCAGCACGAGAAACACAACCACAAGCGAGGAGAGTCCTCCATGCATGCGCTGGGCGGCGGTGCGGCCTCAGATGTACACGGGCTGCTCCTGGGCCGTCAGCAGTCTGTACATGGCAGCCGGCATCGTCTTCATGTGAATCTGCGGGCAGAGGCAGACGCTAGTAGGCGTGGAGGCTCGGGGCCCAGGGCTGGGGGAGAGGGGTGCCTCCCGCCAGGGGTGGGTGTGAAGATACCTCCCAAACCCACTGCTAGCAGGAGCCTGCCTCCGGGAAGGGTAATGACCACAGGCTTTCTAAAAAACGGGGGGTGAAGAGGGGGGTGGGGGAGGAGGAGGAGGAGGGGAGGGACAGGGTAGCCGGGAAGACCAGGTCAGGTTTATTTTCCCAGTCAGGTGCCTTTGTTCTCATCAGGGTCAGAGGGCTATTCCCGGCATCGCCTGCCCCACCCCAGCTGGCGGGGAGGGCAGCGGCGGGAGCGGTCAGCACCTGCAGGCGCTTCCTTCCATTTTAAGAATGCTCTCCTTTTTTTGGCGATGGATGGTGACTAGACTTTTAGGGGTGATCAGTTTGTCATGCATACAGATGTTCAGTTACGATACTGGACAGAACTTTATAAAAAAAAAAAAAGAGGAAATGAGCAAATCACTCTCCAGGGGACTTGATCTTGTCTCAGGGAGATGTTCTTGGACCTCTTTCATTACTGACTCTCCAGTCTGTTCTCAGACAGACAGACTGACTGCTCTGGCTGCTGAGCACTCGGGCTTGGTCAGGCCGGCCCGAGGCTCCAGGCAGCAGAGGATCCCGGCCCCGGCCCCACGCCTACCTCCCCCACAGCGTTGGAGAGGATGTGGACGATCTTCTCGTGCGGGGTGGCCACCACGCTCTGCCCGTTGATCTCGATGATCCGATGCCCCACGCGGACGCCTCCCCTCTCGGCGATGCCCCCTCGCATGAGGCTGCAGATCTGCGGGAGTCAAAGGCCCGGGTTACCCCTGTGGGCGGGGAGCTGGGTGGGGACAGAGCTGTCCCTTCTGGAGGCCCTCCTCCTCGCCTCCCATCTCTGGTAAGCTGCCACGGGGAGGCTTCCTGCATCTCCATCGCCTCGCTGCTTTTCACAGGAAACAGGGTTCTGTGCGCCCGTGCGGCCAGCTCCTTCGTGCACGTGGGACAGGGAGCGTGGCACATCACTGGGCTTCACGCACTCGGAATCCTGCCCACTTCTCATCCTGCTGGGTCTCCGTGAAGAGAGCGGGCGGGGGCTGTCCCTGAGCCGCCAACGTTTTCAAACTGCCAGCCTGTGCGCCTCGGGTGAGTTTTACTTCCCACCATCGCCAGGGGCTCAGATGCCAAAACGTATAATGCTGGCAGCCACTTTTTTTTTTTTTTTTAAATATATTTTATTGATTTTTTTTACAAAGGGAGAGAGAAAGACAGAGAGTTAGAAACATCGATGAGAGAGAATCATCGATCAGCTGCCTCTTGCATACATCCTACTGGGGATGTGCCCGAAACCAAGGTACATGCCCCTGACCGGAATCGAACCCGGGACCTTTCAGTCCGCAGGCCGACGCTCTATCCACTGAGCCAAACTGGTTTCGGCTGCTGGCAGCCACTTTTTAGGGTCACAGTGACATGAGCCAAACTGGGGCTGGAACCCCACTCCATGTCCCAGAGTGTGGCCAGCGGGAGGGGAGCTGCTCTTGCTGCCTTCCCAGCTCAGTGCCCGGACTGGACTCCCTTCTCCCAGAAAGGGCAGCGGTGCTGGGCTGTGACCGGAAGGGCGGAGCCTGTGGGCTGGCAGGAGTGAGCCTGCGCTTCCTCGATGGGAGGGTCCCGGGCTGGGCCCTGCAGGGGAGAGCCACCTCCACTTCACACCCAGAATACTCGGAATCTCCCCAGAAGAATATGCTCTGAATTTATAAAGCTGACTTGTCACCGAGACGGTGAGCCGCTTTTTAAGAGCCCACGCAGCCCTAGCTGGTTTGGCTCAGTGGACAGAGTGGCGGCCTGAGGTCCCTGGTTCGATCCCCAGTAGGGGGTGTGAAGGAGGCAGCTGATCAGTGATTCTCATCACTGATGTTTCCATCTCGCTTTCCCTCTTCCTTCTTCTTGGAAATTAATAAAATATATTTAAGAAAATAAAAGCCTCCGCACCTCCTGCCCTGGGAGACCTGCAGCCCACCAGGCCCCGTGGCCAGAGGTTCCTCAGGTGCAGGCCCCTCTGGAACACGGCAGACCCTCGTCTACTGAGTGAGAACCTTCTGATCCTATCTGAACTTTTCATATTACTCAAATAGGAACAAAGCAAGTGGGGAGCATAGACAGAAACAGGATGCCAGACTAAACCGACAAGGAGTCACCGGCACTCCTCTCCGAAAAGGAAACAGCGCCACCCAGGGACAGAGGTCAGAAAACGTGGGCTGGGTGCTTCACCTCCAGCGGGGATCTTCACGTGGGTATTTCCAAACCTTAAAACTACTTGAAATAACACTTTTGGTTACCTACAACGCTTAGCTGAAATTTGAGGGGCAAAAAAAAAATTTTTTTTTTTTTTTTAAATCTGGAAGGATGAAAATCAAGAGGTTACAGAGGACAGATTGGCCACCCAAACCCAGAATGCCGATGAGTGCAGAAAGGCCAGCTGGGCAAGAGGAAGGGTCACTGAGTAGGGAGTTTCTGTCTGCGATGAGAAGTTCTAGAAAGCGTGATGGCCTATCACTTACGGAAGGTACTGAACGCCCTTGAACTTTATGCTTCAAAATAGTTTACATGGTCAAGTTCAGGTGTATGTTTTATCACGAGGAGAAAAGGAAGTATTATTTTAAGGTCGACAACCAAGGGATACAAATATTACTTTATATTCCCGAAGTGCCAACTGAGGTTAAAAAGGCAAAGCACAGCCCGGCTGGCCTGGCTCAGTGGTTGAGCGTCAACCTATGAACTAAGAGGTCACAATTGGATTCCTGGTCAGGGCATATGCCTGGGTTGGGGGCTCTCTCATTATTATTTCTCTCCCTTCCTCTCTGAAATCAATAGTCCTCCAGATGGGGCGGGGTTCTCAGCCTGAGCTGGAATCATCAGCAGCTTTGAAGTGCCCCCCCCCTCAGCGCTCCACACCCTGGCACAGGGACAGCATCAGCCAAGGGTGGGGGCAGGGGCAGCCCCCAAGGCTAGAGGGGAAGGAAGCCCTCCAGCTAGGAGGCCATCCTGCCTGGCCACCTGACTCCGAGGCCAGGGCTCTGAGCAGGCCCCTCTCTCTCAGGTAGAAAAGCACAGATTCTCCACCCAAAGAGGAAGCCGAGCCTGCCTTCACTCATTCACCCCCTTCCTTGCTGGATTCTTTCAGGAAACGGACCGGCTTTAAAAATTAAAACTAAAATAGCAAACTGTGTCACATTGGCGCCTGGCTTTTGGAAAAGGGCGTGGAGCTGTACTTACAATTCCGTTCTGGACGCTGAAACCCAGCTGGTAGCGAAGGTCCGGCCTCCGGATCAGCACGGTGGTCACCGGCGGGCACCTCACAATGTTCAGCTTCACCCGGGCCTGGTTCTTCAGGCCCTGAAACGGAGCAGAGCACCGTGGGTGTGGCGGCCACGCAGGCAGGCAGGCAGCAGGCAGGCAGCACCGGAGGCACAGGAGCCCAGGGAGGACCTATCACTCCATGGGCTCCCCAAGCTCCCGCAGTCCCTCGGCTCGGAGAAACCCCTGCCTTACACGGAGCCTTGCGGGGCCTGTGCAGAGACCAGCGACCAGGGCGCGGTCCTCACGTTGGGGGCAGGCTGTGCAGAGACCTGAAGAAAGGGTCGTCTGTGCCACACAGAGGCCAACTGCCCTGGCCAGGAGACAGACAGCGGGAAACACTTTTTCTCCGAGACGCAAACTCAAGCAAAGGAGTCGTAATTCCAGCCCCTGGCCCGATGCGTCAGGCTTGTCTTCCCTCCCTCTCGCATGTTCCTGCTTCCCCACCCCCTGCCTATTAGTTCATCAGCCTCCCCACAGGTGCTGGGAAAGCAGGGCAGGCAGGGGTCTCTGCCCACTCTCGGCGACGCTGAGCTCAGGCCCATGCTCCTGTCCCCTGGCCGTGGCGGCAATGGCCTGGTCTGCTCAGGAAGTCACCTGCTCCTCCAGGTCCTACCACCAACGGTGAGCTTCCTCTTAAAAGGAGGTGCCAGACACAGCTAGGGAAGCCCTGGAATCAGGGTCTACCTCCCAGATCTTGAGACCGCCTGCTCTGCCCAGCGAGCGCCTGCCCTGCCCACCCAGGCTTTGCTCCAAGGGCTGAGGCGGACACATCTCAGAACACCTGCCCCACTGGACTGCCATGGGCTGAGGCCAGTCCTGGAGCCCAGGGATCAATCAATCAAAGCCCACAGATATTTTGAAGAATTGGCGTTAGAAGTTTTTTAAAAAAATTGGCTCTCCAAAGAAATTTCAATCGTGTACTGTTGATATGTGGCTCTGTTCACTAATGAGTTTGCCGATCGCTGCTAGACCCATGGTCCTCAAAAAGGAGACCCCCACACCAGCAGCTGCAAGACCTGGAATTCCACTTTAGTGAGAAACGCGGAGTCTGGAGTCTGCATCAGACACTACAGGGGTGGGACCCGACCATCTCTGTGCTGGCGAGTCTTCCCAGTGAGACTCAACATTGAGAGCAGCTGGTGCAGACTCCGCCTCGGACAATGAACTCACTGCCCAGGAGCCTGGGACCAACGATGTGCGCCCACTCCCGCCGCCTGTGGCCAGCGGCTCTGTGGGATCAGGGGCTTGCAGCGTCGAGGCTTGTGGGCGAGTTGGCTGGCCAGATGCCCGGTCAGCCATCTGTATGTGTGTACCACGTGTGAGTGCCCCCGAGACTGCTGTCCTTCAGCACCCACGCTGACCTTGAAAGCAGCCGAGCCACCTGTCCCCGAACCCCGGCACCTGCCAGGCCTGACCTGGAGGTCCGCAGAGCTGTCCCTTCTCCCGTCCTTGATAAAACGGCAGTTATCGCTAGGCCTATTTTATAAAAGAAGAAACTGAGGCTCAGAGCTACTAACCACACCCCCAAGTTCACCCAAGTGAACATTCAACCCCAGGTCTGTCTGGGTTCAAACCCACGGCATTTTCTCCCCGATCCCGGTCCTCCACGGACCACGGGAGGAGCCGTGTCATCCACGAGGCAGGCTGGCTCCACCCAGGAGCCAGGGAGAGCGGCGGAGTATGGAGCGTGTGACCCGTGCCTTTTGTTCCAGCCTCGCGTGGGCCGTGTTTTCGGCTGCCTCTCCTGCCTGGCGGGGGTTCTCCAAGGCCCCGCTATGGCTTCCACGGCCTTCCATCGATTCCGGTTTGTCCCCTCCATGCGTGCATGCTGAGGGGCTCCGTTCCGGTTCCCACCTCCGGCGTCTCGGTGCCCTGAACAGAGTGCTCTGTTTTCTGTGGGACTTGAGCTGCCCGTTGGCTGTAACTTGGCTCCCGGTGACTCGGTGTTCACGCGGGCAGCAGTTCCCAGCGTCTCAGACCCGGGGCTTCTGGGACATCGCTGGGAGACCCCTCTGGTTCGAGAAACGATCATTTCAAAGTGCAGCGGCGATGAGCTGAGCGGGCGTCTCCCTGGTCTTTTGCAGGTCAGCAGGCCCGACGTCCACCCTGAGTTATGGCTTCTGCTGCCGACGGCGGGGCTCGGTGCAGAGGACTCCGCTGTGTCCGAGACGTGGGCTCGAGCCCTGTGTCTGCTGCCCTGGGTGTGGGGCTGCGGACACCCTGTGCCCCTTCCTCCCCTCCGCCGCCTCATCGGCAGAACAGTCGGTGCCACCCACTACGGTCTCCTCCAGTTCTCATTTCTGATTTCACCCCTTCTCGTGTTTTTTTTTTTTTTTTCTTTCCGAAATATGTTCGCCGACATCACACTTTGCTTAGCAACACCTATTTCTAAAATTAAAAACAGGTAGGTGGAGGGTTTTGCTCAGACATCATTCATGCGTGTGTGTTTCTTTTCCCTTTGAGTGCTTCCGTTTTCTTCTTCACTTAATCAATAGTATTTATAGATCATTTGCAATGTGCAGAGAAATGTATTAGGTGCTGGGAGTGGGTGGAGTGGGGCCTTAGGAGCTCAGGAGAGGGCTTCGGGGCACATGGCCGAGCAGCTAGAGGGCTGGAGTCCCTTCAGTCCTCCCTCGCTCCCTTGCTCCCTCCCTACCTCTCTCCCTCTCTCCCTCCCTCCCTCCCTCTCTCCCTTTACCGCCCCCCCCAATCACGCCCATGACACCAGGAATTTGTGGGAGGCAAGAGCAAAAAATGCTGAAACAGAGGAGTGCGTTAGAACCACAGCCTTCAGACGAAGCCACCTGCCTGAACGTTTACACCTGCTGTGTAGGTGTGTCTGTGGTGGGCAGGAGTGCCTCGCAGAGCATACGAAAAGCAAGAGAAGGGCTGTCCCCCCAAAGCCACCTGAGGTGTGCACAGCGCTGCGGTGCACCCCCTTCAGGGTGAACCTACGTAAGAGGCCCGACTTGTCGCCCAGTGAATGGATTTCTAGGTGGGGACGGTGCTGACGGTGAGGCTTAGCGAGGTGGCAATTGGAAGCCACCAGACGACGCGTTTGCTTGGCTGCTCCTAATCAACGCTTCACGTTGGGTCCCATTTGCTTGCGTTTCTGAGCTGCTGTTTTACTAGAGGTGCCGAGGAAATAAATGGTCATTTCGTCCCCATGACAACGGTGGAATGGTACGGCACATTAAGAAATCTGGTGGGAGGGAAGGGGTAGGGAAGTGGGGAGAGGAGAACAGAGAAGCCAGTGTGGTCTCTATGGAAACAGGCAAGCAGAACCAGGTGATCCTGTGGAAGGAAGGGGAGCGGCGCTCTAGTTTAAGAAAGGAAAATATAACTAGAAGGGCAGGCCCGGGAAGGCAGTGAGCAGGCCCGCTGGAACATGCTTAGCCTACCAATTATGCTCTGGGAATCACGACAGGAAAAATAAGAGCCAGGGAAGAAAGCAATTAAAAAATTCAATACCTAGAACTCCATTCTAGAAACGTATTCTATTTCCTATAATTGGGGGAGAAAGGTCAGCATGCATGAAAGTGGCCAGACACAGAGTACAAGGCTTTTTCCTCAAAGCACAGCCTGGGATTGGTGATCACCATCCGGGAGCCAGAATCCCACCCAGACCTGCTGAATTAGGACCTGCATTTTAAACGAGATCCCAAGTGATTCCAATCAAAGTGTGTGAATGAGAGCAGCTTGTTAAATCCGTCCAGGGAGCACTGACACACACAGAAATAAGCAATGCTAACAGGAAGCCCCCAAGAGGCCCAGAGCTTTCCCTGCAGTGCCCCCAGGGGGTTGGGGAGGGAGAGCGAGCATCTACTCAGGTGCAGGCAAAAGGGTGTGTTGTCTAGAATTCAAAAACAATATAACAATCCACTAAACGTTTTCGTTTTCGTTCGGTTCTGGCAATCCAGCTGGAATCAGCGATAACATTTTCCCAGCCAGGGGGCGCTGTGGCAGAGCCGACACACTTTTCCCTCCCACAAAGCTGTGCGTGGGCCGCCTGGGAGGGCAGCTGTGTCCTAATGGGGCTGCCCACTGGGTACTTCCCCGCTGAGGGCGGCATGGAGGCACTGGTGTCCTCACTCTCCATCTTCACCAGTGACTCCTCTTTCATCACCACACGGCCTTTTAATTTGCCGATTTCACAGACGCTTCACGTACAGACATCAAAGGTCAGCTATTCACGCAAACAAACCCTTTCCCGGAGGAAACTGCTCAGACAGCACTGACTACTCTGAGCGAGCTTCCTTTCCACCTCGCTGTGTGATCCACTGGGCAGAGGGTGAGTCCGCGTGTGGTGCCAGAGGAAGTCCCACTGCCCGCAGGGGCCTCAGCCTACCCCATCTCGCCTGTCTCCTTCCTGCAGGGGCAGGGAGGGGTGGAAGAGGATCTGGACTTGTGGGGAGGGGGTATCCAGGGCAAGTCACCTTCAGAGTCTCTGATGACCCATCTGCAAACCAGGTGTTTGCTGTCCCCTCCCTAATGCGCTGTCTGTCATGAGGAGGGAGGGGAGGGGATGACTCTTTAAGGGCCTGGCACTGTCTGGTGGGTGCATCATGGGCACTGGCATGCAGCCCCGCCAGTCCTCACGAGGTCCTGCTTATTCCCACCCAGGCCCCAGCCCAACCCTCACTCAGGTTACCCCACTTCCTGCTCCTCCTCCCCAAACCTTTCTAGATCCAGATCAAGTCCCCACAAACCTCCCTCTGCCCCCCACCGACCTCTCTCTCTCCTGACTTCTCTCTCCCCATCTGAACTTCCAGCCGCCTAAGCCAGCCCGCTCCAGCTCGGCGCTGTGGGCACGTGGGTGAAGCTCCTTTGCTGTCCCCGGCATTGAAGGGTGCTCGCAGAAACCCTGGCCTCTGCCTACCAGGGGCCAGCAGCATGTCCTCCTCCCTAGTTGTGACAGACTATCTCCAGACCTCGCCGTATGTCTCCCAGGGAGAGCCCCCCATGGAGAACCACTTTCCTGGTGGGTGACTGGGTGACGGAGCCGAGGACAATCCCATTGAGACAACAGAGAGAGCTGTGACTGATTAGTGATGCCCGTTGATGGGCACAGTACCAGACACTGATGGTGTCTGAGCCAAGGAGCCCATCTTTGATGTAAAAACAATTTCAAGAGTCGTCTATAAATAGTAACTTGATGTAAACAGCTGAGTGCAAGCCCGGGCCTTTGGTATTTGTGTATCCTCGGTGCCTGGCACTTGGACTCTGCTCATAAATATTAATGGCTGAGTTGCCGGCACGCTCCAGGCCTGCCCTCAAAGCAGACTTTCCCATCCATCCCATCCCATCCCATCCCCAGGTACCTTAATGATGCTCTGGCAGGTGGACAGAGGCAGGCCCACCAGGCTGGTGCCGTTGATGGACATGATCTGGTCCCCGATATTCAGCTTCCCCGACTTCTCGGCGGGCCCGCCATGCATCATGTTGGCTATGATCACGGTCGGCAGGATGGAGCCCCAGCCGGACTCCACGATCACCACGCCCAGGATCTCGCCTTTCTGCTTCTCTATGAAGACCTGAAAGGAGAGAGACACTTGGAAAGCCTGAATCAGCAACCCTCCAGGGCAGTGACAGAAACCAAAGCATTTGTCCTCTTCCTGCTGTGGCTAAAGCAGAAAGACATTTCCCTGAGACGCCAACCCTACGGGTCCCGGCTTCTCCGGATTCCATGGCATCGGCATGTGCAAGAACGACTCAATAGGGCCCACAGGTTCTTTGTTATTCTCATTCCGCATCAGCAATCTCTGCTTGGCAATACAACCACGGGGGCACGGAGTCGTTTTTTCCTATAGTCTCCGGGGAGGGCGGGAGTGGGAGAGTGTGTGTAGGTGAGAGCTTTGGTGGTGAGTTATGGCTTCCAGAAATAGCTTTTGGATTCTATGCACCGGTTCCCCTGTTCCACAATGCTTCACTGATTCCCTCCAACATTGAAGATTCTTGAGTTAAAAGTAAATACATATACATCACAGAAACACTTCTCTGCAAGGAGAAAGCTGAAGAGAGAGAAAATATGCTAAAGTTATCACCACCAAAAGGCTGGGAATGCACACAGGAGACCGTGCTGTAGGTGTGTGTCATTTTCTGTGGCTTTCCTTGGCAGGGCGGAGGAGACAGTCGGTTTGGGAGATGTGCTGGCTGGCGAGGTTTGCAGACACACACAAAGGGACAGATACTTGGTGGAAGACGCACCAGAGTGTGTGCACTTATTCATTCCTATCCACAGACGCCCATATGCTCAAACCTGCCCAGTAGTGGTGGCTGTTGGGGCCTGACAGAGCCTCCTTCACAGGCCGGTACCCCCTTCCCCCTCAGCTGAAGCTCACGGCTGGCCCCTTCCCTGGAGAGCTACCCTCAGCCAAATGGGAGTCACCCCTCACAGGGGCTGAATTGTGTCCCAACACCCAGTACTTCGGAATATGACCTGTGGGCTGGGGAAGGTGGAGTGCAGGTCCTGTCTGCCCCCGGAGCCCACCCCAGATTCAGCTCAGGATTGCTGGAGGCCCTGGCTCACTAGTGACAGCCCTCTGCTATTTTTCAGTCACAGAGCCCCACGCAATGTCCTGCTGACAGCACGCTCTCTCTACCCTGCCCCCACCCCATCCCCGGGCGGGCTCCCTGGAGCTTCGTCCGGGAAAGTACCTACATCTTTGCAGTTTTCCGACTTGGAGAAGTGGATCAGGTCGTCGTTGTACATGTCCTGGGTGTTGAGCAGGTTGCTGTACTCCTTCTGGCTGAGGTCCTCGGGGTTAATCCCGTTGGCCCTGAGGAATTCCTGGTAAGCCACGCTGAAGGCCTGCCCGATGGACTGTGCGATCAGCTGGGCCTAGACGGCAGCCAGAGAGGGGAGACGAAGGTCAGGAGGGCACCCCTCAGGACCACGGAGCCCAAGGCATTCGCTAGGCCAGTGGGGCCATTTTTGGTTTTGACAACAGTCCCAAGGGAGCCACGGGCAATTGGGAGGCAGGAGTCAGAGACACAGTCCTACACACGGATGAGTCATTCAATTTCTTACATAATTTTCAAATATTCCACTGGATGTTCATTTCATGTAACCCTGTGTCTAATCATCTGACTTCAGGACTCCTCAACTTTATATAAAAACACAAAAGACCTTCTTTACGCACACTGAATGTTCCAAGAACACAACCACTCTGTATACGGAGAGCGACAGTCTGTTCTGGCCAGCACTTTACCAGGAGTAGGCGTCACCAGCATGAACACTGCTGTGTACCTGGGTTGCCAGCAAATCACATCACTGTCAGCTGCACATCTGCTGGCCTGTGGGTGACTCTGCCTGCCTGTGTGCCTGTGTCTGTCCACTTACATATTTTCTTAGTTACCTTCATTCAAAACGTCAGGCACAGAGCATTTACAATACTCAGCTGAGGACTGTGTTCTCACACCAGCACTTACTGGTCACGTAGGTGCAAGCACCTCCTCACCCCACTATTCCTCCTGGAAGCGCTGGAGCCGGGCGCTCCCATGTTGTTGTGAGTACAATGCGAACGGAGCCTGGGTCCTTCCGCTTCTCCTTGGTGTCACACTGATAGCGATACTTTGCTTTGTAAAAATGTTTTCAAAAGGAGAGGTTCCATCATCTGTGCATTTCATTCCAGGATGGATAGCATCTGGGCATCGAGATGTGTGTTGAGAACCCTGGTCTAGTCCAGCCCTGCCTTTCCCAGGCGAGGAGACTTGAGACTAAGAGACACAAAGGATCCCGCTCCAGGCCACACGGCTCAGAGCCGGGAACTCTGCTTCCTCCGCGTTTTCTCCTGCGCCGCGCTGTGACAGCCTTCCCTGCACCCATCCATCCACATTCTGACACAGGGTAGCCAGTAGCAACCGAGCGCTTCCTACGTGCCTGCTGTGCACGCAGGTCTTTTCGAGGATCATTACAGAGACCCTCACAGCAAGCCCATGGCTGGTGGGAGTATGACTGGTCCACAGGCCCTCCTCCTCCGCTCTGCACTTCAGAATTAGAAAACCGGGGATTTTAGAAAAGTAACAGGGTGATCTATCATGCATTGCATGACAACTCTTTTAGGGCCTGGGGAAGCGTCCTGTGAACGAACACAGGAATATTCCTGCAGCGAAATGTACAAGAGTCACAGTAAGTGAGACAAACCCCATCAGTGACTTCCTGGCAGGTCAGGGCAGGTTTATCAGCAAAGTGACTCCCCAAGTCCCTCAGTTTGTCAGCGCTCCTTGGACTCTGGAACTGTGGCTCCGTGTTCCTATCCCCTCAGACAGGTCAGGAGGCGGAGGCTGAGCGGTTGGTTAAGTTGTCCACAGCCTGGGAAGGAGGTGCAGTGGGGGCGGGGAAGGCCTGGGGGAGGGGGGCTGGGTCCTGGCAGACTGATTTTAGGGTCCACCCTCCCTCCGCCCACCACATGGGACTGTCCCAGTGAAATGTGAATGGGTAGAAAACCACCAGCAAGTCTTTAGAGTGATGTTTTAAGACACATACACATACACATACACACACACACACACAATTCTAATCTCTACTCCTTTCCCTACCTTCCTCCGTTTTTGCTTAGAAGCAACTATCAATAATTAACGGAGATAGATGGCAGTGCTTCTGTGAGGCGGGCTATGGAAAAGAAACGCTCGCTTTTCTCGCTCTGAGAATCTGGCGGTTCGTGCCCCGGCGGGAGGCAGGGGCCGCCTCGGGCTCGGAGGCACCGGACAGAGAACTGGACAGTGTGCGCCTGGGGACGCGGCCAGCCGGCTGGCTGACCTCCACGCGTGGGTGCACGTGCGCACACACAGGCCGCCGTGTTCCTCCACACCGACCACGGCCACACAGCGGCCCAGCGAGGGGACAGTCTCCTGCAGAAGCTCAGCGGCCACACAGTCGGCACCTGCAGGCAGGATTCACCCTCGAGCTCTCCCAGGTCCCGTGCTTAGAAAGCCACGAGTACGATTCCCAGGTCCGCGCTGTCCTAACTCCTGCTGCTCGCATTCTCCCCGTCATCATCTTCCCTGGCAGGAAGCCCAAGGAAAAGAAAGCCTTGGGGCTCCAAGCCAGATGGAGGTGGCAGAGGGCTCCTCATTCGTACATATGTGGGTACAGGGGGCCTTGGGCCCGGTAAGCAGATATAACCCCCCCTTTTCACTGGCCTGCAGGACACACGAGGCTTACGGTTCTAAACCGGGCTCCTTGGGAACTTTCTGAGGACCCGCTGAGGCTCCCCTTCTCCCCATGTGCATGTCCGGCCTCGGTGTTAAAGAACAGCAGGGAGAATGGCGGGGACAGGTGCTGCAAGCTCGCTGCCTAGTGGGCGACGTGCCCAGAGACCCAGGCGGTGACGATGGTGCGGGAAGTGTGAGGGCGCCCCCTCCCGGGCTGCAGTGGGGCAGTTCCCACTCCTGGGGGGGGGGGGGGGGCAGGGGAGGAAAAGCACTTGCTTCTGCCCAGCTCGTTGGAGGAAGGCAATCGCCTGCAGCTGGATGAGTGTGCTCATGGAGGAAAAACGGCTTCTGTAAGGAGCCAAGGTTGCCACAGGTTTTCTCTAAGTAGAAAGGGGAGGTAAAACATCAGCATCATGGCCGGCTTAGGTCTCTGCAGTTCCAAACCACGGGGGCTCCCAAGGCCTGCACAGCTTTGGAGACACTTGGATGCCGATGCAGCTGGAAGCTGGTGGCCTCACCAGCACTTCCAGTCCCACCCCGGGAAGAGGACTGAATGGCAGGATGGGCCCCATCTCTGTTAACATTCCTTTTCTCTGTTCACTGCATCAGCTGGAAGAGATGGGGCCAGGCAGCTTTTGACAGGAGCAGCAGCAGGTTGTCACCAGGACTGAAGGTGAACAGGGATCCTAATGTTTCAGTAGCCTCCAGGGTAGCCCACACAGCCAAGGACTTTATTCCTAAATGCCCTATTGCCCCGGTGAGACCCGCTCAGGCCTCCAGGGGCCGAGCTGAACACCTCCCTCTCGCCTCTCATTTAAGCTCCGGCAATTCGAGCTCCTGGAATTTCTTCAAGCTGCCATCAGCAGGCCCCTGCCTCAGGGCCTTTGCACGGGCTCTCTCACTCCTCTTTGCTCAGATCTCTGTCAGATCTCGCCCCTCAGGGAGAACTTGGTTGATCATTCTCCCTGAAACAACCTCTGGCCCTCTATCCCGACCTAGTTTTAATTTTTCTTTATCAAACGTCCCGTTACCTACCTTTGTATTAGGTAACGGGACGTTTGATATCTTTGTATATCTATCTATTTATCTTCTGTCTCCCTACGGCCCTCAGGAGTACCTTGTCTGTTTTACCCAGCCTTAGAAAAGGGATAGGAGGCTGAGTAACACACAGTACGTACTCAATTAGTATTTGTTTACACATGTGACTTAGGTCCTGAGAAAGAGAGAATCTGGCCACCCAAAGGCAGTCCAGGGCCCCAGAGGGAGATGGGGGAAGCGCCCTTACGTCCTCAGACTCGAAGACGTGGCAGATCATCTTGTACTGCCTTTTCCCGTCCTGGGACGGGTGCGAGGCCTCCACGTTCTCCTGGGAGTTGGAGCGCGGCATCCGCCGGCGGGCCATCAGCACGACGATGTTCCCGATGTCGGCGATGTAGGAGATGGTCCTCAGAGGGTGGTCCATCATGGTCTCCTGGATGGGGAAGGGAGAGGGCGGTCACTCGGGGCACCGTCCAGTGCCCCCTGGGACAGTCTGTCTCCCCACAACCCAGCCACGTGGGCTCCACATGGAGGGGCTCCGGTGCTCACAGCAGAGACCCTGCGGGCAGATGTGTGTGCATCCCCCGGCCCCCGCCCTCCCCGCCCGGGGCCAGCTCCCTGGGCTCAGAGTGACCCAGGAGGCCTGTGGCAGGTGAAGAGAAATATCTATTGTTTTACAACCACTAGACTTGCTGGTGGGGAAGGTAAAATAAAAAAAGATAAAAATCTGCATGTGGCCAAAACCGGTTTGGCTCAGTGGATAGAGTGTCAGCCGTGGACTGAAAGGTCCCGGGTTTGATTCCAGTCAAGGGCATGTACCTTGGTTGTGGGCATTTCCCCAGGGGGGTTTGCAGGAGGCAGCTGATCGATGTTTCTCTCATCAATGTTTCTAACTCTCTCTCTCCCTTCCTCTCTGTAAAAAATCAATAAAATATATATATTTTAAATCTGCAAGTGATGGTTGCACTGTGTGTGTGTGTGTGTGTGTGTGTGTGTGTGTGTGTGATTTTAAACAAAGGTTTTTAAATGGCTCATCTGTTCAAGGTCACAAATCTCCTGATAAAAACCTATGAGATTATCAAACGACATTCACAGTTTCTTTTTTCCCTTTGTCTTTAAGAAAACAGCCCCAAGGCTCCCTCACACCCCACCCCAAGCAGCATTGCAGACACAACCTTGTAGCGTGTACAGCTGCTCTGCAGACACGGGTACGGTCTCTGCGTTGCCACGCTGCTAAGCTTGATCCCTGGGAAAGGTGGGAGCCCGCTAATACCTGTGTGTCTGCGTTCAATACTTTGATTCTCTGCGTAGAAATGAAGAGGTCCACTTCGGTCATTGGCTGAGATTCGCCTTCAGGAGCCTGAGAAGAAAAAATGCACCGAGAGAGAGCTTAGTCCATTCCTCTGGCCCAGAAGAGGGAAGCAAGGTGAGTTCATACACAGGCATCGAGACACAGTCACCAGAACAGCAGTGCAGACTCCAGAATGAGGTTGTCAGAGCTGAAGGTGGGCACATGAATGAGAGTTAGCATGTGCAGGTCCCAAGGAAAAACAGACCCCCCTTTGCTGCTTCCGCTCCAGAAGCAGTAACGTGCTGTGGCAGATTTGGCTCTGGGACCGAGGGTTGCCAGTGGCCCTCTCTGCAAGGCTGTTGAAGCCCAACGTATCAAAGGAAGAAGGGCAACTGAGCTGACACCTGAGGAACTTGGCAAAAACCAGCCTGCCCCTGTGCCCGGGGCGGGGACCATGCTTCCAGCAGGTGCAGAGAAAGGCATCTGAATGCAGTTCTGGTCAGAGGGTCTTTGTGTGCACACACCAACACAGCAACACAGAAGCAGCACCCTGCGCCCGCCCCGTTCAGAAAGAGCCCAGTGCGCCCATGTCCCACGGGTAGCTCAGAAGCATCTAGAAGCTGCACAACCACAGAAAGCGTATCCATCCGGCTCATTTAAGGCTTAACTCTGCACACGAGGGTTTATTAGCGAGTTTTCTTTTTTGCATCCAGCAATCTGACAAATCCGCAAATCAAACATGACTATCATCGGACAGACCCACGTCCCTGCCACATCGATGCCTGAATGGTGGGAACTCTCACATGAGCGTAGGACTGGTTTAGCGTCTCCAATCTGCTCCCTGCCGTTCCTCTCACATGAAATGACTCATGAGCAACAGAAAACAGCCATTTTAGGCAACTGAGTTTTGAGAAACGTTGGCTTATGGGGCGGTTAAAAAAGAAATCGGAACAAAAACTTGCTGGATGCAGAAAACAAAAACACGAAATAATAAAAAAGGGAAAACATAAACAAATGGAAAGAACAGGCATAACACCAAGCTGATGAAGTTTTTTGTACTGCACCTTCTTCCTGCTTTTGGCTAATTTCTGGGCCATCTGCTTAGCATGGAACAAACAGAGACAGGAGAACAGTTAGAAAAGAATTCGCAAAGACTCAAAAGTTGAAAAGGAAATTGACAAACTAATACGGATAGTGGTATAAAGTATCGCTGTGGGAAGATTGACTTAAAAAAAAAAAAGTCCCACTCTGTAGACAATGGATTTCCTCACTCGGAATTTAGTAGATGGCAGGGGAAGTAGGAGGAAAGAAATTTATTGAGTTGCAATCTTATATTTAAACTGCAATCAATGTCTTCAAAGAATCAACTTCTGTTTCTGTTGGTTTTATTATATGCCTGTTCTCTATTTCATTGATTTCAGCCTACATCTTTATTTTCTCTGAGCTGAATTTGCTGACTTTTTCCAGCTTCTTGAGATGAAAACGTAAATGGTGGATTTTCAAACATTTCCCCCCTGATATACGTATTTAGAGCTACGGCTCCCTCCACACAGTGCTTTAGCTGTGTCCCACATATTTTGATTTGCTGCAATTTAATTATCATTTAAAACATTTTCTAATTTCTACTATGATTTCTTTTTTGAACTTGAGTCACTCAGAATTGTGTTATTAATAATAATATGTTTGGAGATTTTCCTAGTTATCTTTTTGTTATTCATGTCTGAATTAATTCCACTGGGACAGAGAATATACCTGATTTCAATCCTTTGAAATCTGTTGAATCTTAGCCTGTATGGCCCTGACTTTGGTGAATGTGCCATGGGGACTTCAAAAGACGAATTCTGCAGTTGTTGAGGATAATATTCTATGAATGTCAATTAGGTTAAATATGTTGACCAAGAGTATTGTTCGACTCTAATATTTGCTGATTTTTTGTCTGCTTATTCTAATATTTATTAAGAGAAGTGTGTTTAGCTCTCCAGCTGTTACTGTGAATTTGTCCATGACTACTTCTGTCAATCTTTGCTTTATCCAGTTCATAGCTATAAGGTGCATACATATTTAAGATGTTTGTCTTCCTACTGACTCGATCTTTTATTGTTTTCCCTCCTTAGTAATACTTCTTGCCTTAAGTTTGTGTGATACTTTGTAGTCTATACCTACCTAGAAATGAATGTAATATTCCCCTCTTTTCTCATAAACAAAAGCCTAGTTGATAAAAGCAGACTCTGGGGTTGAACTGCTTGAAGCTAAATCTTGGCTGAGCTACCTAACTAGTCGTGTGACTTGGAGTGAGCAACTTAACATCTCTGTGCCTCAGTTTACTCATCTTCAAATGAGAATAAACATAATATTGACCCTGTAGGGCTGTTCTGAGGATACATACACGCAAAGCTCTTAGAACAATGCCTGGTATATTAAGCACTATATTTGTGTTTGCTGTCACATGGCTATAATTCACGTATATCAGGATGCAATTTCTTGGCTTTCCATAGGGCTTGCTATACACACGAAGATCTTGTACGAGTAATGGTGAGTCAATGGTCAAACCAGAAGGCTGCTGTGGTGATGGGGTGGGAGGAAGTCTGCTCTCTCCCATTCTTGGTACTCACCTGGCAGAAAGCTCTTTTGCTCTCAGCAGCACAACCTTATTTCATTAATGACTAAGGTATCTTTCTGTACTACCTCATGGTGGATGAGTCGGCCACCCCAGCAACCAAAGAGCTCATCTGTGCTACCCCCAGGAGCCCAGGACAGCCCAGGCTGCACGGCCACCCAAGCTCCTCCCGGTGGTGCTGGTGAAGAGCCTGCGATGGGAAGGCAGCAGGCAGCACCTGCGGTGTCACTCTGACTGACGCTCACGAGAAGTTCAGAGGTACCGATGCTACGTCCACCACCACAGGTTCTTTTACGGAATCAGGAAGTTCTGAGCGGCACCAGTTATAATGTGATGATAAACAACTGCTGTGAGATCCTAATGTTTGTTTTCTACCACTTCCCCTGAGATAACAGGATGTGAAGTGGAATGAAATGGCAGTAACGTAAGAATTTCCCTTATTTTTTGATACAAAAACCTAACCATTATTGGTCAAACTGCTTCACTCTAGGGAATAGTGATCTGAAAGGGTCCTTTCAAAGGAAAGCACGTCTGCCGCCAATGGAATGCCCACATTCTGTTTTATTTTGTTGTTGTTTTGCTATAACTGGTGATAAGGAAGAGGATCCCAATGGCAGGCTGAGTTTCATGAAAGGCACTCTGAAGTAATGTTTATGAAGTTAAAAAATATTTTATGCACTTCTTAGAGGAATGCCATCTTTCAATCACTTATGACAGTCAAGTGCCCTGGAACAAATTATAATGTAAAACTTAGACATAACATTGGAAATGACAGAGGGGGTCGGAGCCAGGATGAGGAACTGGAGTAGCAAAGAGAAGTCTGAGAGCCAGCATGCATCCTAAAGCAAGAATGACAACATCCATTTAAATTCCGTGTTTCTTGGGATTGATTACAGCTTACCACCCAGCAGGGTGTGTGCAAGGACGTAAATGGTGGCACCGTCCATTCAGTCACTCAGTCCACAATGTGTACGGCTTGTTAACTGTTAAGACTCTCTAGCTTATTCATACCAGGGCTCCTCCGAACTATTGAAGCTTTCTCCCTGCTGACAGTATCCTTCTAAGTGCTGCAGGACCATCAGTGTAAAAGCTGACAGCAGCCTTGTGAGGTAGGCACAACATTATCCTCATCTTCCAGAAGAGGAAACTGAGGCACAGAGAGGCTAATTAACCTGCCTAAGGTCACAGAGCTGTTAAGTGGCAGGACACAGATTCACTATACACTGGAAGTCTCACTACACACTCCAAATTGCTAGTTGTGTGATCTGGGCAAGTTTTTCATTTACCAAATCCTCTGTTTATCTAAAAACAAAAATGGGGGTTAAATAATACCAGCCTCACAGAATTCCCCACCCCCCTCAATTGTGAGGAGTAAATGAAATAATGTATGCATAGTCTTCTTTAAGTTAGGTGGGAAACCAAATGGCTGGGACAAAACTAAACGGACAGAAATTTTAATTATATAATTAAATCGTAATTTTTGACATTTCAAGAAAATCTTTTTATAAAACAATAGAAAAATCGGATCTTTGGGGGACAGGCTAGTCTTTATAGGTATAGGGACAATTGATAATGAATGATCCTTACAAAAATGCATGGACCAAAAAAAAAGGTGAAAACACCACTTGTGACCTAATCACATGAGCTTCGCAAAGGTAGAAAGACTGAAAACATACACACCATGCTCTTCGTGCACATGGAGCAGTTACTGAGGCTCAGCAGGGGGCAGTAGCCACACACACACACACACACACACACACACCCCGCCTCTGCCCATCTTCCGGTTGAGGAGCAGAGAATAAAGTGGGCGTGAGAGTGGAATGAGGCATGGAGATGACGGAGTGGAGAGAGAGGAAGACAAGGCTACACTGGATAGGGTTCAGGCGTGATTCCCACACTGTGTGTGTGTGTGTGTGTGTGTGTGTGTGTGTGTGTGTACACTCTAGATACAAACAGCATGAAAAGCAGAGTTCTTTCCAGAAGTTTCTCCCAAAATGTGTTCCAGAGAATTCTAGCAACAAGACTAATTTAACAGGCACCACACAGTGATACTGCATCTCTGCTCAAATAACCATGGGAGCTTCTGGTTAAAGAAGGCGAACTAAATCCCCTGGCACAGGACTTCTCAGAGCCTCCAAAGGGGCAAGCATCCCACAGAACCTACTTTGCAGCATTTCTTGAGCTTATGTGCCAACAGAACCGTGTCCATGAGAGGCGCTCGGCTTGACTGGAGGACACCACAGAGCTCAGTTGGACACGTAAACTCTCTGGAACCTGGACTGTCTACCCTTCTCCGATATGGACATCAGCATCTCCTGACAGGCTTATGGAAACACAGATTCCTGGACCCTGCCCTCACCTGCTTCTGACTAAGGCAGAGCCTGGGAATCTGCATTTACAACAAGTACTGCTGGGCCAGGGATCCCACTTTGAGAACCAGTGCTGTAATGCATTCCTAAGTTCTAGTGGGGCTTCTTGCCAAGATATTATTTTCTCTAGAAGTTAATGAACAACAAAGACAGAAAGGATACATTAGGGAGATTCTAAAAATGGTTAAAAAAAAAAAGTAAAAAGAATGGCAGATGTCTCCTGGTCCAGCTGTTACATTAGGTGCATTTTACTTCGCATATTTTGGTGGGAAAAGCCTTTCAGTTCTCCACTCCTCAGCCCGCCCAGCATCAGTGTTACTGTGACGCTTGTCTTCACGCCCTGTTAGGCTGCACGCTTCCCCAGGTCAAGGACTGGGTCTTGGTTGACTTTATGTCCTACGAGTCTACCACAGGGGCCTGCATTGGAACAGTTTGCTTTTTGAGCCAAATTCCTCTGTTTTCTCTTCACATTAAGTAGAAAATCCCCGCCTAAACCACAACTCCAAATTCTCTACCCGTTTGCCAAATACATCTGTAAATTCTTTGTTAAATTGAGAAAACCATAATTCTTATGCTTCCAGGTATAAATCCAGTACCGATTTCAATGCTGGTATACTGGTACAGTCGGTGCTAGGTGAGTGACAGATACCACCGTCGATGAACAGTTAGAAATTTAAAACTGTTTCAAAATGGGAGCCTATGCTTCAGATCTAGTATTTGCTCAACATAGCGCCACAAACACCCATCAGGGCAGAGAGAGAGCATGGGTGGAGGGAAGAGAGGGGGCAAGGGGATCTCCCTGGGAGGAGGGAGGAACTGGACACCAGAGGACGGAATTCCTCTGCCTCTGTTTAGGGGAGAACACCAAGGCCGAAATCACTTATCTGTCTATGGTGAGGGTATTGCTGAACAGTGTCCTGGATGGATGGACACTGTAAAACCTGCAGCCTTACTCTGCTCTATCTTTCTCTGGACGCAGCCTAGCAAAACTCGTCCCCCCCCAGGTCAGCCTCTCTTTAGGAGAGAACATGGCACCACAGCCCTTAGACAAAGTGTCATCTGGGCATGTGTGAGCAGCGCAGAGACCATCCTGACTGATTTAGACAAGTTCTCTTGACCCCCCTCTGCAGCAGATCAAGTCTCTGCGTGCCCCCCCAAAGAGTAACTTCCTTCAGGGAGCAGAAATAAACTATGAGTCTGAACGCCACTGTCTCCACTTACAATCTGAGAAAGAGTCAGGCTTGGTGCAAAGGCACGCAGCCCGACGGACATTTGAATGGATGTAGAAGGAACACAAGGCAGACGATGTAAGTGAGAGGCAACAGCTCCTGCAGAGGCACAGCAGCACGCTGGGAAGTGATATCTATACGTGACATGTAACCATGTAACCTCACCCCTCTGGAACGAATTCCTCCACACTAGAGTCACTTGCTGGAGAAATAAATGTTCTTTAGATGCCTACGCTACCCTAGGCAGATCTAAAATGGATTTATAATCGGCCTCTATCCTGCTTGCTCTGATGGACAAAGCCACCTAATTTTTTGTGCAAAGGAACAGTGAGACTTGAAGCGAAGTGCAATAAAACGAGGTGCGTCTGTGGGTCATAGTAGGTGTGGTGCTGAGCCCTGCTTTATGTCTGGGAGATGTGCCTGTGCCTGCTCTCCCCCCCCCCCACCCCCCCCCGGGTCATTGAGTATGATGTCTGTCTCACAGTGGAAAGTCAGAAACTCTATCTGTAGGAGTCAAGGATGGTCAATCTAGGAGGCCAATCAACAACATGCCCAGAATGAAACCTGACCCTTCATGTGTTTTAAACCTTGATGGATAGAACCCAGGAAAGAACTAATCTCAAAGCAACACACTGCTTAGTTTTGGGGTCTTCAGTACTCGTTCAGGATGGACTGCTGCTTTGTTCTGGAAGACTCGCCTAAGGGGGCCCTGGGTGTGTTCCCCGACAGGCATTCTGGAGGAGATACACCTTTGGCGTGTGGCCCCATCCTGGACACTGCAGGCCTCAGCATCTCTGCTCTGACCCACGAGAGCCAATAGAAATGCCCAGACACAGTGACAATCCAAGTGCCCCCGCCCACCTCCAAACGCCCCTGTGGGAGGTGATCCCTGTCTGCCTGGAACCACTGAGCGAGGCGCACCAGGCCTCTGTCCCCCCATCGGCCCCCGGAAGCTGACAGCACCGTTAGGCTGGGAAACTAAGTGTTGTGTTGAGAGCTTAGCTAAGCTACTCGGTGGTCCTGCTGCCTCAGCATCTTTTTTGTTTGGCCAAGTGGTCTGCAGTGACCTTGAACGGACACTAGGCCCCTCATGCAGGCACATTCCCTAGATAACAGCCCAGAGAGGCACAAGCAAAGTAAGCTCCTATGACCCCCCCAACAGCCCTTGGTCAACAGTCTTCCCCACCTCCAGGCCTCAGCCTCTGTCCCCTTAGGTGAGACCCTGAGGAGCTTACCAAATCCTGACTCCTTTGGTGTGAATTGATCCTAATAAAGCCAAGTTCCCAGGTCCTGTCCCACGCATGCTCCCACGCATGCTCCTCTCTCCCTCTCCGCCTCGCCTTGCCGTGACTTCCCCACACAGCCCCTCTAGGCCTTCCTCCGAAACCTGTGAGCAATAACTTATCGATTTTAATTTCTCTTGCGGTCTTTTGCTCACCATCTGGCACCCCAGGGTTCTACTTAACAAGTTTTAATTCAACAAAATCATAACATGCCGTGCTTGGTGACTGTGGGACACAAGTGTCAGAACTATGACCCTGACGATTTAGTTTTCTGAGTTCACTGCTCTGGGTGAAATAAGACTGAGATGCAGCATGTTCTCTCAGAGAGCTTTGTGGTCTTGCTTTGAAGGCTGTGCCTGGGAGATCCTAGATTAAGAACAGTGGGAGGATCTGGCAGTGTCCATGTCCCCCCTCTATGAGAAGGGGTGACAGTGGAAAAGAAATGAGGCCAGGCTTGGCTGGGCAGCTCAACAGGAACCAGATGTTCTCCTGATAGAATTGCTGAGTCTGAAAGAGCACAAAGGTCTGAAGGTCAGGCAGGTATGTTTTCATGGAGCTGTCCTGCTGGGAATCCTGGGGCAAGAGGTCCCTCTGTGGGTAGGAGGTGGGACTTCCTTTGAAGGGAGTGGACCTTCCTACTGTCAATCATCCTGGGAGAGGCTGATGATGGGAGAAAACATGGAAGCCTCGGAAGTGGGCCTGGTGGGCGCAGTGTCTCTAAGACACAGACAAGGTCTGGGCTGCCCAGACGGAGGGGTGAAGTGGGTCCCTGACACACGGGTGAAAGTGGCAGGACCGAGTCAGTAATTTTGGCATTGGGCTACCTACGATGCAATTATAAATTACTCTCTTGTTTATACATCCCAACTCCCAAAACTTGAGTAATATCACCCAAAGCTGCAGCGAGGGTTTGCTCTACAATGATGAGTACTTAAGGGCAGGGCCACCTCGCTACTCAATTCATTTCTCGTTTGTGCTGCTGAGTTTGAGGGTCAGACTCTCGCCGTTTCCCTTCCTCCAGAGACCCCCCACGACCTTGAACACATGAACGCTCAAGAAATATTTTGTCCGTAAGTGAGAATCAAGGACTCTCAGCGCCTGCCTTCTCCCCGTGCTCCTTTCTCATTCCACACTGACACACAAACACCAGGGCGAGACTTGTGAGTGTGTGAGCGAGAAGATAGAAAAACGCGAATGGCTTCTAGAGGTGAGAACTGGTTTTGGCCAGCTGAAACTGGATACAGCCAACCCTGGAGCGCCCACCCCTATCCCGTCTTGCTTGAAATACCTGGTGCTGGTGTCAACAGGGATGCTCTCCCTGTGGCTCCCGTGTGGCTGCCCAGCGGTTCTGGGTGCTGGTGGCCCCTAAGGACACGGGAGTGACTTGATGACACTGTGTGGGTCTCTGTAGACCTGAGGTGTGTCTGGCTTCAGGTGAAGATTCTAGTGCTCTGTGTTCTTATGGGCTCACACCTGTCTGGCTGGTTCAAACAGGTTGTGAACGATTTAAACTGGATGAAGGTGGTTCTTCCTGAGCAACACAGGCCTGCTCCTTGCCCATCTTGGTGGAACAGACTCAAACGGGTTATGATGGACTCAGACTAGTGTAAACAGAGCTGGCCTTGCTCAGACTTGTCCAGACGAGCCAGGCCAGATCTGATCAAAGGGATCATCTTCCTTGAAGCAAACCAGTTCAGCTTAGCATGAGCAGGACCAGCAGGTTCAAAAGCAAAGGACCTAGTGTGAACCACGCTGCCAGTGGAAATACAGGACTGCAACTCTCACGTTAGAAATGCTCCTCAACATGAGATCTGTCCTCGTCAGGTCAACTTCAGGAAGTTCAGGATCACATGTGTTCTTTTTCTCAGAGTGCCCCCTAACAACAACCAACACATACAGTGCGGGACACCAGTCCACTTCAGAGATCATCCTTTCTCTTCAGAACTGTGGCAGGAACGTGCATAAGCCCTGCCTCAATGTCCCCCCAATCCACTCTCCTCTCCCCTCAGGACTGGACAGTGAGGTATGGGGGTACCCGCCGCTGCCCCCTGCCCCCACGGAGCACACGGCCCCCCTCACCTTGATCCTGCTCACCGCCTCCTGGGCCTGCATCATGCGCACGTTTTTGGAGGGAGTCTTGTCGGAGAGCAGCTGGGTGGAGCCAAGGTAATTAGCAGCAAAAATGATCCCATCGATTAAGTCTTCGGGGTCACAAGGTCCGGGAACTGTAACACACAGAGGCACCTTGGTGAGTGAGGTCACTCTGGGTGGGCCTGCCCAACCCCTGCCTACACCCCTCCCCTCTGCTCACCTCTGGCCTGGGGGCCCCGGCCCTGAGCATTCTGAGGTACCCGTATCTGCCTCCACTCACCCCTCATCTTCAAATAATAGGAACAATTTTTTCTTATAGTCACTTATATTTCTCACAGCCAGACCATTTACTGTGAGAAATGGTGTGTAGATTTATGTAAACACAGAACATGACATGTCTCGTGAAGGCTACTGTTCCTCCTGTCACACGGTGAGCTCTGGGGACAAGGACAATGCCATCTTTGGCACTCGTGTCTGGTCAACACCTGTCACCCAGCGGATATCAAATAAATAAGCAGTTCCTTGACTTGCTCCTGATTCCTATCTCCTCTCTCCATTTTATCTATGATGGGGGAAGTAAATTTTTATAAATAAAAAATGGAGATATTTGTTCCAGAATGTTTGGTTTTCATAATAGCCTCTGACCCCAATTTTGGGAGACAGCTAACATTACTCGGAAGCTGCTGTCTCATGCTGTTGATGCTGCTGATTTAGAGACTCGAAGTTCCTGGCCTGCTTATGCATACAGATCAGTTCCCGGGAAAAATGGGAATTTGTTTCTTTGGTCAACCTTTTAAATCAAACTTGAGCCTCGCCAGTGTTGCTCAGTGGTTAAGTGTTGGCTCATAAACTAGAAGCTCAGGGTTCGAGTCCCGGTCAGGGCACATGCCTGGGTTGTGGGCTCAATTCTCAGTAGGGGGTGTGCAGAAGGCAGCCAATCAATGGTTCTTTCTCATCATTGATGTTTCTCTCTCTTCCTTTCCCATACCCTCTCTAGAATCAATAAAAATATGTTTCAGGGGGGAAAAAATCCAACCTTAGTTTTAAATAATTAAGATGGAGGTATCTGACTCTAACCATAATCTGCTGTAAATGTTATTTGAAGTTAAAACACGTCTGGGATTAATATATAACTAACTCTATAACAGATGCACTAACAAAGGCATTCTAATTCTGCAGTGAAAACATGTATTTTCTTTGGCTTGAAGGCTGTATTCGGGGAGACTAAAATACACATCTTAACCCACAGTTAAAACCTCCAGGTCTTAAATTAGATTCCTTGAAATGGAAACAATTTGCTCTTTCCGTTTGGAGAGCTAATCTGAAATGGTTTTCATTTTTATCCTTCAAGATGAAGCGCATCTTGAGCTTAAACAGCCACCTCCCATGATAAGCTACTTATCAGGGGGCAGACTTAAAATAATCTGTTCATTTTTTTCTAAAACCTAGGTGCTGATTGAAACAAAGGAATTAACGATGTTGCAGGAAATGCCTTCACCAAGTGCCTGTGTAGTAATTAAATAAGGAAACCTGCTATTTGTCTCATTCTCGGTCTTTCTGGGAAAGACTTCTAGACAAACACTGGGAGGTACACTGCCATACTTGTAATTTCCGTTCTTCTCAATAACCACATGCTCCTCACCCTGAAACTTCAATGGATGTGGGACAAATCCAGGTTCCTGACCATATTCAGTGGAGTGGTACAGCAGGGAAGCAGGAGTCCAACTAAAATAACACAAGGACAAGCTTGTGTTTTGTGAAATGTGGAGGATGACCAGTCTTCCATCACAAACTCCTGTGATGCTCCTGAACCACAGTCACTTTTGCCAACGAGGCACTGAGAAAGAAGATCTCATCGGGGACAGTCACTTTTAAAATATTCGCTTGTGAAAATAACGAATGCCAAAGAAAAAGAAAAATTAACCACCTCTTGCTGGGACTTCCAATACCATATTATAGTCATTTCTGATTTAGCTCTACTCACTGAAAAGGCTCCCTCTTGAGGCCTCCTAAGTGTGGATATGCAGATGTGTTTAAGAGCAATCCAAACAACATTTAAATGACTGTGTAAATGTCAAGAAGGCAGGAGACAGAAATATTGGGACTAAACAAATTATACACTCAAGATATAATCTCATCCCTTTTATCCTCCAGGGAAACTGATTATAATCAAATGTCACTGTCACTTGATCATACTCAGCAAAAAAAAAAAAAAAAAGCACTAATTTCGTAAGTGCATTTTAGGCTTAGTGTGTTATTAAAAAAACAAAAGTTATATGTTAAGTCTAAGAATCACAGGGTTCATTTTGATCTTTTGGAATGTGTTTTTCTTTTCGGTGATACCCTTGTGTTACTCTGAAGATGAGCAAGCACACACACACTATATATAGGCTTAGCATTAACATGAGGTGTGGATACATACAAGCACACACATATATCTATCTATAGATGACTGATTGATAGATAAATAGATAGACAGACTCACCTCATGTTAATGCTAAGTCTGAGCACAGCTATGAAGAATGGGGTTTCCAAACTTCCTATCACTCCCCCAGCTGCTCTCCTAGAATTGTGGAGCTTGACGACGACGGCACAGAGAACCTCCAGGTTACTCGGGAATGGGACCTGAGCCACTGAACCTACCCCGGGAGCAGGTTCTGGGCGTCAGGCCTGAAGGTTCAGAGAGGTTTCGTGCCCAGGCAGTAGGACACACTGGTTGTTCCCTCACAGGATCCAAAGACCAGCCACGACCCCAAAGTGATGCCTGAGCATGGTCTGGCCCCAGAAAATCCTCCTTCAAGGACATGACAACCCACCCTACCCGAGAAAGCACCTGCCCTCCTCCTGGTGGAGGTCGCTGCCACCTCTAGCTTGGGGTGCCTTTGTGTGAATAAGAAACAGGCACTGTATATGTGTGGCCTGCCCTCAACCTGGGGTGGCCAGGTTGGGCAGAATTTGGGCCCTACTAGGCTGCTCATGCAGCGAATAACCTGCACAGCCACGCGTGGCAGCCCTGCAGACAACCCAGGGAGAATTGTGCGGTCGGACTGCTGGCTGACAGCCTGCTCTGCTACTTGCTAACGGTGCGATCCAGGGAAAGTTGCTCCCCGCTTGGATGCCTCAGTCCTCATACATAACACGGAGATAATGATAAAGCCCCCTTCACAAGATCAGTGTGAGGATTCAATGAGTTATTACATGGCAAGTGCTTACAACAGTACCTGGAAAAAAGTAAGTCCTTAATGTTTTTTTTTTTTTTACTAACTCATCCAAGCAAGACATGGGGATTATTGGGAAGATTTTGTTTTGTTGTTGTTTTTGTGTTTTTTTCTTAAGTGAAGAGGACCAAAATGTCTCCCCGTTAGTTAAAGCTTATTCCCACTTGAATAGCCTGCGGTGGAATAGAAGTGGGAAGACTTGGGTTTCAGATCCAATGTGATCGTTACTAACCTGGGCAAAGGCCCTACCCCCCACGCTCAGGTTCCGGGGGCAGAATCAGCAAGGGCAGGGAGGAGGGTGTCTATGAGGCTCACAGCTACCGTTCTTTTAGGCTAAGACTCTAAGACTGTGAATTAACTGGCTCGACGGCCTTCCTTCTCTACTATCATCTCCCAACCCAGTGCTTCCAATGCCCTCAGTGCTAAAAGATTCATGAATGACGCAGTGCTCAGTATCTCCTTTTAGCTCTTACCTTCAACGTAGGTTGGGAATGATGCCAAGCTTTTTCTTGACTGTAATTAAGACAAAGAAGTTTCAAAAAAGGCAAAGCATGATGAAAAATGCATTAATACAACTATCCATGTAGCATAAAATACAAATACATCATCAGTGTCAGATATTAACCAGTTGTCAACCATTCTTGGTAACAGAAAGTAAAGTGTAGATAAACACACGTTTCTTATTAAACGTTACCCAGAGCCCAGAGCCATCCACTCATATATTAATTAGGTCATTTGAAAATCCTACATTCCAAATCAGATGTCTGTCAGCTTAAAAAAATACCCCACAAACCAACATCCATTATCCACAATCGCAATAAAAAGGGCTTAGTTTGTATTTTTAAGAATCTCAGATTCTAAGTAAGAACTGCTGATTAATGAAAGCACCAACATCATTATATACCGAAATTAAAAATTTTCTTGGAGAATTTTATTTCATGTCAGGTCTTTGCTGCAGGGATCTCTCCCTGTGCTAAAAACATTTGCTGGAGTTTTATCTCTTCCTTTCATCTCTTAGTGACTTGTTTTAGTCTGAAAACTTCACTATATATGCCATTATCCTGTGTTACTTTAAAATAAGCACACAACAAACAAAGGAATAAATTAAAGGCCCTGGAATTTTGTGTATTAAGTGACAACTCAGATCAAAAGTCCATTTCCCAGCAGCACCCTTGTTCCAACAGGAAACCTTCCAGAACCTGACTGCACAGCAGGGTAAATGCTGGCTCCAGGGGAGCATTCCTGGCCGTTCGGCTCCTTGCAAAAGTGGATGCCAGGGAACTCTGAGTGGCACGAGAGTAGGAAACCCGTCCCTAATCTGTCTTGGACAGGGTGAGGTGAGCAGGAGAGTGGAGGGCTAATGTCAAAGGCAGGAGTCCCTAAAACAGGCAAAAAGTAGGGTTTGGGGTAAGCTCAGAAAGCCTAAAAAATTTCATTGCCAAGACTCCACCAGTTGTTAGGTAACCTTTTAAAGACCTGCATTTTAGGAAAAGGATGTCTAGTGGAGCATAGTTGCTCAACAGGTTGACTTAATTGAGGGTGTAGCCATGGGATGTCAGGTGGGCTGGAGGGGTGAAGGGCCTGGGGACTGGGATGTCATGGGAAACAATTCCAGATCATAGGACTGTACAGTGATCTTCACTTGGAAGACTTCAGGAACAGCAAAGGAATGGTTAGTTGATTTGCACAAAATTCTAAGTAGTAGTAGTGTTAATTCTTCTGTCAAAAACTGCAGGCAATGGAAGACACTTAATTTTAGGGATCTAACTCGATTCAGGACAATGACAAGCATTTAACACTAATCACGCAATACACTGTGCAGAGCGGCCTGCTGTGACATGCCCATTGGGATGAAATGCTTCCTCCCACCCAAGAGGGTGGGTTTCTGGTTTCAGAAAGGATCACCTTTAAAGACACTAAAGCCACAAGTCCAGCAGGAATCAAAGGTTAACACATTAATGGAAAAATGCACATCAAGTGAAAGCCAAGGAATCGGGACAGGCAGAAAGAGAAATCCAAGTTCAATAGTGCTTTACGTTACTTTTACTTTCCATTTATCCACATGAGACAGCAGGCCCAGGTGAGTGCCGACAGCCAAGTATGTCTATTTCCATGGTTTCAAGAAAAATAATTCTTAACTTCGGGGCATGCAGAAGGAAGCTAGTGTCTTCATAAGGGCCAAAGATTCCCAAATGATTATTCCCCAACCATCCCCCTGTCCTTGTCCTCCGTCGCTAAAGGTTTGGGGTAATCTGGGTTTACTTTGTTTAATCAAAATGCTCCAGCCTCCAGGTAGCTCCAAGAAGCCCATGCAGATTTTCTTGGGCTATTCAGGGCACTTTACTGAATGCCAATCTCTAGGACAGTGTCCAGATTTTTGTAGAAACTACCGGAGAATGACTTCAGTCTAAAGCTCTAAAAACTGCCGTTTTATTCAGAGCTACAATGGAGGGCATTTGGTACATTTGCCTATTCTCTATTCATGAGCTCGTGACTGGCTTTCTTTAGTCTCGGGGGTAGTAATTTTTTTTAAAGATTTTCTGAAATGAAAGAATCGCTAATTATTGCACACAAAGAGCATTTTCATCATTATTCCTACGGATCTGTAGAAGCATGTGCCAAGTCCTAGAGGAACCGAGAAACTAACAAATTTGCCTTGCTCATTATAGCTGATGAATAATCAAATACTGAGTATTCAGAAGTCTGATTAGCCCTTTATTTTCTCAGATGGGGGCAGAGATGAGCATTAGTTAATCCTTCACATGCAGAAATTAATAAAACCAGCATCCAAGGGAAAGGCCAAACGCTCTGGGGTTTTCCAGGCCACACTAACCACGTGCAGAGCCTGGAGGCCTGACGACTGGATCACGGCAGGCGAGCCACCTTTCACGCCGTGTGCGACCTGCAAGCACTCTTCACCCCCAGGACGGCCGATCCTGGTGTTAGGGGCCCACAGGCACGAAGGGTTCAAATCCTGGCCCCACCAGCTGTGAGCCCTGGGGCCTCAGGTAAATTATCCAACCTCTCCGCTTCCTTAACTAACACAAAGGACAACAACTCTTGCCTCACAGAGTAATTTTAAGGATTAAATGAGATTCTATCTGTGATGGCATGGCCTGGGACCTGAACACTGTAAATGTCCATGCTGTTTTTATGATCATTGCGGCTGTCACTCTTTCCTTCCTGCCATTTGTTCTCTCCTCTCCGTGTGCTCTGAATGAAATATGAGGCAAAGCGATGGGATAAAGGGGCAGCAGAAACTGTGACCCCATTAGTCCTGTTCCTTTAGTCCTCAGGCCTTATGGGCTAAGGATCAAGACCAGAGGAGGACAAAGGATATATCAAATCTAAATTCTAATGTTTGTTTGGTTTATATCAGGGGTGGGGAATGTCTAGCCCGCGGGCCGTATAAGGCCAGTGAAATCATTTGGTCTGGCCCCGCCAAGGCGTTAGGGGTGAGTTAATTGTCTGACAAAATACAGCAGGCTCATTTTTAAGTTGATAATTTTGTATGGCTCATTTTTAAGTTGATAATTTTGTATGGCCCAGGAATGATGTTATAAATACTCAACCGGCCCCAGGCAGGAAAAAAAAGGTTCCCCTCCCCTGTTTTATATGAATAGATTAATAAAAAATATACTCTCCCCTGAATGAATATCTAATGGAAAATGTATATGTATTTGATGATACTTTAAAGGTAAATTTCAACTAAGGCTCCCTTCGGAAGTGATCTGCCACTCACGTTAAAATTTAACATAAAATTATAGCAAGAGGAGGGAAAGGGAAACAATCCTTCGTCCTGTGATGTGGCCGCCCTCACGCATCCCTCGGCGGGGATGAGGCAGCCTCTGTAGTCAGAGCCAGCGGGGCCCACACGAACTGTGCCGCAGGCCAGTGTCCACCTGATGCTGGCTGCCAAGGCGGTGGGGTGGCGGTTAGCTGGGTGTCAAAAGACAGTGGCACTGGGGAAGGCAGTGGCGCCCCTCAGGGAAAAGCACCTGCCCTTTCTAGCCCTAGGAACCTCAGTGGGAGCAAGTAGAATCTTCTTGCTTACATGTTACCCACCAGAGCTCAGTTTGGCCTCCCTCAGGAGGCGACAGGATGATACAATTCATTGTCCAAAGGGACACTACAGGGCTGCCGTGTCCAGGAGCCCCTCACTGTGTAAGGTCACTGAAACGGAATAAATGAAGAAGCCAGGTCCTCAGGCCCGCTAGCCACACGTGTCAAAGGCTTGCTAGTCACACGTGGCTGGTGACTCCCCCAGAGGACAGGACGAGTGGAGCCCTCCCGGGGCTGCCCCGGATCTCTGAACAGACTGCTTTCAGGAGTGAGAAGGGTGCTCACCAGTGAGCAGTGGGACAGCAGGTGTGAACTGCAACCACCGCGGCTAAACCAGGCCAAGTGGTCACCCTGTCACCAGGAAAGGTATTTCACTCGGGCCGGAAATCACTGGATATTCTTTTAAAAATCAACCGATTGCCGAAACTAGTTTGGCTCAGTGGATAGAGCGTCGGCCTGCAGACTAGAAGGTCCCAGGTTCGATTCCGGTCAAGGGCATGTACTTTGGTTGTGGGCACATCCCCAGTGGGGGGATGAGCAGGGAGGATGCAGGAGGCAGCTGATCGATGTCTTTCTCTCACTGTTGTTTCTAACTCTCTACCCCTCTCCCTTCCTCTCTGTAAAAAAAAAAATCAATAAAATATATATATATTTTAAAAATCAACCCACTTCCCAAGCTACAGAGCAGCTGTCAGTCCACGGTCCCCGAGGCCCGTGCGCCACGAGGAAGGATGCTGCCAGAGACGCGTGGATGCCCAGCACTGTCCACTGGTGGGAACGTTCCACAGTCTCCCTGGTCCAACGCAGAGGCCACTGGTCACGGGTGGCCACTGAGCACCTGAACTATGGCTAGTGTGCCTGAGGAGCGAGTTTATTTCATTTCTCAACGAAAACAGACAGCCGTGGATGTCACGTCCTTCCTCGCCCCATTCCACAGCGGAGAGAAGAAAATAATTTCTCCCCCTGATGCTTGGGGTCAGAAGCGCCGTGGGAGGCTGGGGAAGAAAGGCACAGGCCAGAACCAGGAGGGAGGATGAAGGGCCCGAGGCTTTTGGAAGGAAGCGGCTCCCTACCTCTTTGTTGGTGGAGCCTTCCGCGGGGTCGCCGGGATGAAGGGGTGTGCTCGAAGACTCTGCGCCCAGGGGCGAGGAGCTGCCCGGAGAGGGTGACTGGAAGAAGCAACGGAACAACAGTGAGAACCGAGGGGGGGCTGGGAGCCCGGCCTGGAGGGAGGGGCGGGGGAGACAGCGGAGCACAACCCCCCAGCATTCGGTGGGGAGAAAGCTCTGTATGTAACGGGCCTGGGTTTGCCCAGCTTTCCTTTAAATTCCTGCCGTGTTTTCAAAGGGAAGGGGCCCTTAGAGCTCAGCTCCTCCAGCCACTTAAGGTAAGGTGACCAGAAATCCTGCTTTGGGCGGGACAGTCCCGATTTTCAACCATTTGTCCCTCGTCCTGCGGCGTTTTAAAAAAGTCCAGATTTTTGGAAAATCGGGACTTTTTAAAAACACCTTGGGACAAATTGTCCAAAATCGGGACTGTCCCACCAAAAGCGGGATGTCTGGTCACCTTACCTTAAGGCCAAGTGTTAATTAAATAGCAAGTTTTGAAAGTCAAACTTAAAGTTCTAAGTGAAAAAGGTAACAAATACACACATGTCTATGCTTTAAAATATTTTCTTACTGCAGGACAAAGATTTTGGGTACTAAATGTCAATTAAGATCACCTGCTCAAGAAGATTTGAAGGGGGGGGCGGATTACAGCATGTATTTTTAAAGAGGTAGCTGGGATGGACTTTGATGATTAGAAACTGCACCACCTGTATTTTCCTAGTCGGTTCAGATATAATGTATTCTGACTTACACCACTGAAAATTCAGAGAAATTTCAGCATTATCATGCCTATCCTTAGAAAAGTCCAAACGTTCTGTTAAGTGATATATTTAAAGCAATTCCACTTCTAGTATTTATCCGAAGGAAAAAACAACAAGAATTAAAAAAGATATCTCTGTCCCCATGTTCGCTGCCGCACTGTTTGTAGTAGCCAACGTATGGCAGCAACTAAGTCCTTATATGAGTGGCTTGAGAAGATGTGATATATATACACCTACATATATACATGCACACACACACAATGATATAATAGCCATAAAAAGGAAAGAAATAGCCCTGGCCGGTTTGGCTCAGTGACTAGAGCGTCGGCCTGTGGACTAAAGGGTCCCGGGTTCGATTCTAATCAAGGGCACATGCCTGGGTTGTCGGCTTGATCCCCAGTGGGGGGCGTGCAGGAGGCAGCCCCCACTGGGGATTGTGGTTCTCTCTCATTGTTGATGTTTCTATCTCTCTCCCCACCCCCAGCTTTCTCTCTGAAATCAATAAAAATAAAAATAAACTATTTTAAAAAGAATGAAATATTGGCATTTGTGACAAAACGAATATGCCTAGAGGATATGAGACTAAATGAAATGTCAGAGAAAGTCAACTACTACATGATTTCACTTATATATGAAGTCTGAAAAACAGAACAAATGGAACGAACAAAACAAAACAGAAAGAAACTCACAGATAGAGAATAAACAGATGGCTGCCGGAGGGGAGGAAAGTAGGTGATGGGTGGAAAAGGGAAAGGGGATATATGACTTTCATTCCTAAAGTCAGTTCCTGGGATAGCGTGTACGGCACAGGGAGTGTTGTCAATAACATCGTAAGAACTATGGATGATTGCAGATGGTTACTAGACTTATTGTGGTGATCACTTAGGAAAGTACACAAATGTTGCACCGTTACGTTGGACACCGAAGCTAAGATAATATTCCATGTCGACAATGATTCAAAAACGTAAAAAATCTTTAATGAGTAAAATAAGGCTTGGAAACAGAGTCAGGGAGTACGGCCCCCATCAGTGTGTGAATGCCTCAGAAGCATGAAGCTCCAGGCCAGTGCCTGACACACAGCACGTGCTCCATGCATGCATGCTGAGTAAACGACCAAGCAAGCAGGAACGGGCCTAACCCGGGCCCTGAATCCCTCCTTAGCTGGCCCCTGGGCCTTCTGCACGCTCCTGAAACCTTGGGAGAAGGGGATCTTCAGGTGAGCCACAAGATGCTTGTGGATTCTGTAGCGATGGTCCTCTGAGAGCAAGAATGCTCTGCTTCACAGCTCGTTGGTGATGTTTGGTGGAGGACATAAAAGGGAACCCACACGAGGATCTATCCTCCGAGGAACCACGGGGATGTGGACAGGGGAGGAAAGTCCCGGGAAAAGGAAGCAATGGCTGTGTGAATCTCATCTGATGTGGTAGCACTGGCACCCCCAGGGAGGCCGAGGCACAGATGGCAGTAAAATACCGCTGTGTGAAAAGCGAGAATGTTCCATACAAAAACAGGGGTGCTGAGGAGGGAAGGGGGCACATTAAAAAGAGGGACCTCAGTGAGCAAGCAGTATGGGAAATCACAAAAAATACGAGATCTTTTCCCAAAAGTCTGAATTACAGGAAACACAGAGGCACCACATGGGTTGAAAGAAGATGCGGTGAAATGCAGAATTCTTCACACTGAGAGGTTGTGTGGTCCCAGCCTATGGCTACAAGGCCTGGATTTATTTCCCATGAGCCTGTGCTCCTGATTCTGAGCAGGGAGGTGAGGGTCGTTGAATCTCAAGACGTTCATGGGCAGAAAGCTGGGCAGTAAAGCCCAGGGTAACAGCAGACACAAAGCACGCCAGGCCCTGAGGCACGGGGTGCGAGGAAACGGCCTTGCATGCCTTTAAGAAGGAACACGGCGTTTTTCACTCGGCGCCCAGGAGAGCTGGTGGGTACTTGCTGAGTTAGCTCTCTGGTTAGCCTACTCAAAATTTATGTAGTAAAGTCTTCATGAGAATTTAATGCCATTAAAATTCCCCAATTTTTCAGGTTTGAAGGGCCTCCTTAGATATTTATGTGTTTCTATTTCCCCCTAAGCGCTTTCCACTGTCACAAGGATTTTAAGGGTCTGGTCCCTGGGAAAGCTGGTGCAGCTGGCTTTTCTTTCATGACTTGGTTTGAGAGGCAGGGTGTCACCTTCATTAAAAACACAGCAACCCTCCCAGAGAGCCCCATCGTTCCTAAAGCGTTAACGGTTTTCTGCTGCAAATCTAAAAATGGATTCTCTGCCACGTCGTGGCACTAGATCATCTCAGGGTGATGTGAGTGGACAGCACATCCAAACAGGACGCTGGGGTGGGGGAGAGCAGATCAGAACCCACAGCAGGGCTGAAAGACCAGCGCTGGGCACCCATCACAGCACCTGGAGGAGAGGCACAAAGGCACCCTCACTGAAGTTCTCACGGCACCCACACCCCTCAGACACTCAATGCTCCACCCTACGGCACAGAGATGAGCTCATCCACGACTCCAACTTACAAGTGCAGTTAATTACCTCCATCCAGAGAGTCCTCCCTCCTGCTCTCCTGTGTTCCATGAGCAATTTGAAAGCACTCATCTCGCTGAAACTGTCCCACTCTGTTCATGGTGTGTTCTCTCCTGATGGCATGCACCGGGGTTTGTAATGTGTGTCTCTTCCCTCGCCATCCCTCCCGCCTCCCCACCCGCCCGCCCATCCAGGGGTCTTGTCTCATTCATCCGTTGTAATCCAAGCGCCGAGCCTCGGTCGCATAAACAGTAGGCACTCAGCCGACATTTACAGAATAAATGATTTCCATGTAGTCTGCAGCGCTGCCATGATTTCCGGCTGATACAGAATGCACATCAGCCACCACCCTTTCCTTCTTTGTAAATGGTCAATGGCAAGCCCTCTCCTGCTACAGCACCTCCCTGCTGTTCTGTAGAGCATGTTATTCTCCATTTTGAATGAGAGGAATATTCTTTGCCTGAGAAGACCCTGACCTCAACGCCAGCGTAGCTCTTCTGAAGCAGAAAGCGGGCCCGACACGAGAGGGGACCCCACCGAGGGGCAGCCTACGGCTCACCACCCCACTGCCGACAAAGCCACGGTGGACAGATGCTTCGGAGAGACACAGCCTCCGTGGAGCCGGAACAAAGATGCTAGTATCAACGCAGCTCCAACGTCTGCTTGAAAAGCCCTTTGCCCCTTACCTCCAACCTCTGCCTCGCTGCTCTCAAAGGTGGAGAGAAAACCAAAAATTGGGTAATGCTCTTTCCTACCAAAGAGTGCATTAGAGGATAATTTTAACCACTGAACTACGCTACAAAAGTAAACATGGTTACTACACATTGCTCTGTCGGGAGCCTCAGGCCTTCTGGGTTACGTGATCGATATTCAATTTTAGGCAAATGGGGCCAGTTGTGAGAAGCAAACGTGGGCTCAGCAATTCACAAAGAAGCATGCCACATGGACAACTCCAGGAGGTAGTGTTCAGAGACAACTCAACAGCTCCCTGTTCTGAGTAATGACAGGAGGTCTCCTGGAGCTCAGCTGCTTTCCTTCTGCAGATTGTGTGCCAGTGGATTCTCCATAACCATGGTCTACATTCACAGGGGCAGCCCTGGGATCTCCCCAAGCTTAGCTCCTTCCCTTACAACTTGGGATTTTCTATGCCAGGATGAGAGATGGATAGTTCTTCCGTCAGAGGTAGCCTAAGGGTGTGAACGCATCCAAAGGGAAAGGTGATTATTCATTTAAATTCTGACTGAATACCTCCTGGTGCCCAATCCTCTGTGACTGGTGGTAGGCGTGAGACCAGCAGCTGAAGGAACTTTCAGGCTATCCTAAGAGGGGGAAGGGCATCACGCGAGTAACTGTTATTCACTTATTCCTTCCACAGGATTTCAGATCCTATCTGTGTTCCTAACACGGGGCGGGAAACAACCAGGGGTGGTCCTTTCCTCGACCCCTTCCAGGACAATGGGAGGAGTCAGACACGGGAAGGCAGGGGGGTGGCACATGCTAGGATAGCAATCTGTCCATGGGGCTGAGAGGGAGCAATCCTGCAGGAGGGAATGGGTGTGTATCAGGCAGTGTTTCATGCAAAAGGGAATGGTTTCCGCCAATTGCTGAAAACTGCAGTCTTCAAGAAGCAGGGTGGGAAGGTACTGGAAACAGAAACAGGGAGGCAGGAGCACAGCTCTGCAGGGAAGTGAGAAATGCGCTGCAGAGCAGGGCAGGGGCCAGGGACTGGAGCCCGCTCTGCCCAGAGGGTGTTTTCTGGGTGCGTCA